CTGGCGTTGAAGCTCAACCAAGGGTTGTCTTGAAAACAGGCCCAAAATGGCCTGTGCTAAAACCCTGGTCTGGTGCCTGAGTTTCAGGGCAGGTCGATCTTATGAGGGCCTGAAAATGGCCCTCGTTTCAGGCTGAAAAGACTCAGGGCCGGGAAGGCCCTGTTTTAGGCTGAAACGACACAAGACCTGTAGGCCCTTGTTTTCAGGCTTTCAGGCTGAAACGACACAGGGCCTGTAGGCCCTTGTTTTCAGGCTTTTAGGCTGAAAACGACACAGGGCCTGTAGGCTCTTGTTTTCAGGCTTTCGGGCTGAAAACGACACGGGCCTGAAAATGGCCTGTGCAGCCTGTTGCAGGCGCAGCAGTAACAGGTATCGAGGAGGTAGAGTCCACCGGTTGCATGTTCAGCCATAGCTGCTGTAGACCAAGCTTCCCTGGAGAGTGTTCAGCCATAGCTCTAGTTCCTTACCTGGACACTGTTCAGTCATACCTGCTCTAGAGAAGGAGCCCAGTGGTCGTGTGAGACCGTTCCTGCGAGTAGGATTTGGGCGTACAATATCACCGTTATGAGCGGTGTGTTTGTATCCAACGAGCGGGGTGTTTGTACCCAACGAGCGGGGTGTTTGTACCCAATGAGCGGGGTGTTTGTACCCAATTAAACTATTAAGCGCAGGAACTCGCTTCAGAAATGACACAACTAACTCAAGGGTGGTGGGACCTATAAGGCCAGGATTTCCGGGCATTTTTTTTTACGGGTACATACCCCTATAGTCGTTTTTTTGTGGTGTTTACCGTTTTTTGTCGTTTTGTGTGAGTCGGCAGTGCGCGTCCATACTCATGTTCATAGCTGCCTGATTTGAGTACAAAAAAACAATAACTATGGTCACGTATCTTCCCATGTTCTGGCAGAAGATTCATTCTCATTTTGCATTTCGTGACTGGTGGAGCAAGGCCCTCCTCTGTCTGGGGGATCACCCGAAAACAGGGAAAAGTTGTGCAAAATGGGAAAGAATATCCGCCTACAACGTGGAAAGAAGATTCAACTAGAACGTGGAAAGATAGGGTCTCGCTCCACTACTCTCGGCATGTGCAAAAAGAGTGCGAACATGGAAAGATACACCGCCATTTTATTTATTTATTTATTTTTGATAGAAAATACAGCTGCCTTCTCCTCCTCATACGGGGGCCAGTTGTATTTTCTTACCTACCCTATTTTCTTCTCTCTCGCCTCACACTGCCATCTTCACCCGAATAGAACGCCCGGTCATTATAGCTGTATTCAGGGCAACTTTCTGTCCAGATGCAGCTATAATGACCGGGCGATCTGTTCGGGTGAAGACGCCCGGTAGCTACCCAGATCTATGCCCTACCCACAAGCCCTACAAGGCAGATGACAAATCACATCCATTCAGCATGAGCAACTACGAGACCAGCCTTAAATATGCAAACTAGGCCTAAGTTATCCTAAGGTTATGGGTCTACACCTACCTAACTCTGCTCTGTGCGCGGAGCAGCACCCAAGTTCCTAATCTAACACCTGGCGCGGGCTGGAAAGTGACCACGAAACTTCCACAAACAGCCAGGAGGGACAAGCCAACTTTCTCAGTCGGTGAACCCGAAGTGTGCCACACAGGGGGTCGTGGGGAATCAAATGGATGTCGTGGGGGATTGAACCCCCGACCCACCTCCTGTGCACCACTTATGTGCTCAACCAACTGAGCTAGGTCGCTTGGCCTTTCTTTTTTTTTTTTTCCCTTTTTTTTGGACTGCCGTGATTTTTGTCTGTTGTGCATGTCAAGAGTAGTGGAGCGAGGGCCATACACACTGCCACATGTCTGGCACTTTCGATGCCCTAGCTCCCCCTACTCACCAAATGTGCGAAATGGGAATGAATCTTCCGGCTAGAACGTGGAAAGATGCACTGCCATATTTTTTTTTTACTTTTGTGCATCTGGTACGCAGTGGACCAAGCCCCCGTTTTGTGAATGGACACATAATTGTGGTTGGATACATCCATATTCCAGGCACTGATCGGACACATAATTGTGGTTGGATGCATCCAGGCAACGGGATGCATGTAGAAAAGAGTGACTAGGGCTTGGTTGCCATCTGGTCTGAACACCTCGAGGCCACACTCTAAGCTACGTGGAAAAATGCTGGGAAGGCTTTAAAAAAAAAAAAAAAAATCCGAAGGAAGGCTAAACCCCCGCTAGTGGGACTTCTTAGCCCCATGTTTGCCCGTAATTGTAGTGAGGGCTTGTTTTTTTTTTTCTTTTGAGGGGTAGCATTGCTTTTTCTTGGGGAGGGTGGGCTCCGCATACTACAACCTGCAGAAACATGCAAAGATGCACCGCCAAAGATGGACCACCATGTTGGCCGGGCGACTGAATACCACTTACAGCCCGCTCGGTGTTGCCTGGCCGTGCAGTGGAGCGAACTGTCCCCGATGTTTGCAGTGTTCCCTTCCCCCCCCCTCCCCCTCATGATCCCCGCTGCGTCTGCGGCGGGCATATTCATTAAAACACAAACAATAGAGTCAATTCTTCATCTAAGACTTGAAGGGGTCGTGATGTGGACGAGGATATATCTGGAGTCCCACATAGAGGAGTGTCTGTGGTGAAGATTGATAGGAGGAGGAGGAGGGGGAGGGGGAGGGGGAGAGGGAGAGGGAGGTAACCATTGAAGAAGCATTCAGAAGGACGTGGAGGAAGCTTAATTGGCAGCTGGCGGCCACAGCTACTTGAACAAGAAGAGTCCAAGAGGAGGAGAGAGAACAGCATTCATTTTCCAAGACGTCATCTTTTTGGAGCCTGGGTTGGTGTCATCCGGGGAGGAGGAGGAAGGTCACCGAAGCTTCGAAGTGGCAATTCGATTGTGATTGGAGAAGGGAGGTCCAGAGAGAAGGAGGAGACGCAACGCTGATTCAGAAGATCAGCAGCATTGTCATTTCCGCGTTCCATGCTGTCATTTCAACTTCCAGAATTATTATGATGACTGCATCTTCACACGGCACGGCCGGTCCTTGTCGCTGCATCTTACTAGACTGAAGTTGCCCCAAATACAGCTATAACGACTGGAGATTCTATTCGGGTGAAGACGGTAGCCTGGTATAGTAGGCAAGTGCTATAGAGAGATGGATTTGCTGTTCAAATATCCATCTCTCTACAGCACTTTTGCCTATTCCACGCTACCATCTTCACCCGAATAGGGTGACGTTGTGTCCGTAAGACTTCATAGTCCATTATTCCCCCCTAAGGCTCCCAGAAGCGTCCTAAAAGAGTTCTCTCCCTGACTTCCTGCTGCTGGTCTATGCCTGACGCCTTCCCCCGAATAGAAAGCACGGTCATTATTTGCAGTATATGTGGCAACTATCAGTCTAGGTACAGAAATAATGACTGTGCGTTCTCTTTCGGGGACGACAGTAGCCCTCTGACGGAAGTTTTTCTCGCCATATTCATTTGATTCCGACAGGTTTTGAAATTTCAGCTCATGATGAGTTTTTTCTGAAAATGGCATGTGTACCATTCAGGCACACACAGCCTCTGATGAAAGTTATGTAAAGTAAAAGGCGTATGACATTCAAGTTTTTCACGAGATTTATTTTTATCAGTTAAAAAAAAAAAAAAAAGAACAACAGGACTTCCAGCAGATTACTCTGTCCAGGGGTTGGTTGGTCATCTCTATCTGCTTTTGAGCCTATTGTCAATCAACTGTCTGCTCAGTTACCATCTCTCTCCCCCCCCCACCACCACCACCACACTACTCATCTGAATGGAAAACGGGTTGTTCTGATGACAGTCGAAAAACACACAACAACCCACACACACACACACACACACACACACAAACACAAACACATGCACACACGCACATACACACACCCATCGCGCACACACACACACACACACACACACACACACACACACACACACACACACACACATACTGCCCTCTTGTCAGGGGTTTGCAGTGACAGTCTGCTAGGATTGCAGGGTTGGTGTGAGAAAAGTCGACCACTTTTCTCTCTCACGGGGTATCACTAACTCCGGGTGACATGGTGAGTCCTTATCCATCAGCCAAATGCATTCTAGGCAGTCCTGCGCAGACTGTTGGGGTTCAACCTCCTGATGAGTCAGTTAAAGTCCAACACAGTCATGCTTTTTTTGTGGAGTTGTGTAAAGCGAACATAACAACACACACACACACACACACACACACACACACACACACACACACACACACACACACACAC